ATAATTTAAAAACCAGCTGTTCGACAAAAACAACTGAAGCCACCCGTTGAATAATCGTCAAATTTAGTACAATTTTAGATTTTCATGCTTAAACTTACTGCATTACTTAAAATTACAGACTCTCCAGAAAAATAAATACCTAACAAAATAAAAAAACAATAGAAGTAGAGTTGAAAATTAAAATAAGTGTGGTTATTCGTGATCGTTAATCGATAATTATTCAGAAATCGTGAGATACGGTCTGATGTGTTTCAGAAAAAAATTTTCTTTATGTTCCAACGTTTCGATCTTTATTGAGATCATCTTCAGCGCTCAAAGTGTTTGTCTTCTGTGTAATTGTGCCATTCTTGCGTGTCGTGTTGAGAGTTTGAGCCCTGAAGATGATCTCAATAAAATCGAAACGTTGGCACGATAAAGAAAATGTTTTTCTGAAGCCTACATCCCACCAGACCGCATCTCACGATTTCTGAATAATTATCGATTAACGGTCACTAATCACAACACATTAAAATAAGATAAAATCCAGTTGTCCGACCAAAACAACTGAAGCCATCTGTTGAATAATCGTCAAATTTAGTAAAACGTTAGATTTTCATGCTTAAACCTAAAGTACAGACTCTCCAGAAAAATAAATACGTATCACAATTAAAGTATATTGGGTAGAAGGGTATTAAAACAGAACAAAATTGGAAAAGTCCTATTCTTATTTCAATTTGAATTATGTAGATAAACAGTCTATTTTAGGCAATTTATTTTATGTCTCTATTACTAAAAAGGTTTTGATCATTTGGTTTAAACATTGCTATGTTTCTTGTTCGATAATGTTTACTTCATAGATGTTTTCATGCCATTTTTAATATTTTTTAACATTGTTAAGTCAATTTCAAGTCAAGACAGTTCAAGTATTTTAGGAAGTAATGATGTATGGTTTATTTATTTAATTTTTTTGTAACTTTGTCAGTAAATGATTAATCAATTTTATCATCAGTTCAAAATAAATCAATAGGACTTTTTGGTTTTTTCGTCAACCAGCAGGAATAATCGTGGCGAATGAAATGGGCGATCAATTAGCCTCCCCTACTGTCTATTTGTTAATGGGGGATCGATCGATCAGAATTGATGGTCGATAAAGAACGTTTTGATCTTATCCGAATTACAGGGTGGTAACAATTAACCCGAACGGGCGCTATCTTCATCCAGGCCAGGCCGGAAGGCCATCTGCGACTCCTCCATGCAAATGAGCCTTCGGCTAATTGCCGGCTTAGCCCATTGATTGAGACCGATGTTTTAAGTGAATGTTGCATTTATATCTTGATAAGTAAAAAGTGACTAATTAATTAGTAAATACCTATTTTGCTTAATATGCATTGATGTGGCCACGACCTTTTGAAGAATGGCAAGTAGATTTTTATTTCCTCTAATATTAAGATTTTTTTAATTGGTAAATTTACCATTTTAATTTATAGTAGGGTAGAGCATAGTAAAGCAGACGTCTAAACGCAATACCGGTCAAATAATTTATCCACAAGATGCGAGGAAGAGGGTTGAGTGACATTTCCACCACTTCAAATCCTACCCAGCAATGAAGACAATAAAATTATAAAATTTATTATTAAATCAGAAAATTACTACCCAGAAGTGCACCTAAACCCTCAACGTAACCAAGATGTTAATGTGATGGGTACTGAAAAGAATTAATGGTCATCCGGCCCGGAGGACCACATTAATTATGTAGCGCCGTTAAATAGGAGTGCGATGGTGTGATCGCGAAACCAATAATTAAATATACTAAAATTAATTAAAGCCCCAATACCTGAGGTGAACGGGTGTGCAATCCTCGCCAATCTTCTTTTCAGTGGCTTAGATTAGTACGATACCTGCTAGGTTCCGTCGAAACATTTTCTATCGGCAGCTGGCGGATTTCACTACCGTGATTTGAAATTTAAAAAAAATTAAACTGAAAATAACTTCTAATCTTGAAGTAAGGAATGCTAACACTTCGTATTTTTTCACGGAAGGAAAGAGGACGCATGAACAAGTGACGACGGGAGCCAAACTAAGGACGCAGTCCCTTATCAGCCCGTTTAGGGATTAGGGCGCAAATAATTGTGGCCGCATCATACAAGTAGTTGGCACAACTGGGATTTATAATAATAATTAATTCCTTACAGAGGAAAACGGCAGGTAATCGACCAAATATTGGTTAATCATCCTGCAGACCCCTCAAAGGAAATCTACAATTAAATTACAAGCAGTTCAGTAAGATCAATAATTAATGAATTCTGTGGTAACCTTCTTTTTTGAATGAGGACAATAGTCTTATATTCGAGCAATTTGGCGTTTGGACTTTGGAATTAAGGCTTCAGCAGATACCATATGATAAGTATCTGAAAGTTTACCTGATTTCCGCAGTATGGGAAATGGATAGTTTGGTTTTTAACACAAGAGCGTGATGATTTGTAGATTTCCTAAGAGTCATTATTCCATACTTTTAATATTCAATGTGGTTTTTTGTTTAGGCTGGTTTTTTTATACGCAAGTTCAAACGAACAAACCAAAATGACGGGAATAGGCCTACGAAAATGATCCGAAACTACCTGTGGTTTAATCACTCCTCCAATCCCTTGCGGATATCTCACAATGGCAGTATGTGCAGTTCAATAATATGGTTAATTGTGTGCTGTTTAGTGACCGTTACTTAATGTTAATTTGGGGGTCGTGAGATGCGGTCTGGTGTGACGTAGTTTTAGAAAAACATTTTCTTTATCGTACCAACGTTTCGATCTTTATTAAGATCATCTTCACGGCTCAAAGTGTTTGTTTTCCGTGTAGATGTGTCATTCTTGTTCGTCGTGTTGAGAGGGCGTTTTGGCTTATCTCTATCAATAGGGTGGATTTATTTATTCGGGTCCTTTTTGTACCTAGACCCGCTGGAAACTGAAAAGCATCTGACCAACCAAACCTGCGAGAATAGGCAGACCAAATGTCCCAAAACGAGCAAACTGAGATGTCCTCAAGCATTATGATGGATAATTTATGAATACTGAAGAATCCTTCTTTTTAGGAAGAAGAAATTCGTCTTATATGCTCGAAAAGAACCACAGGACATTTTTATAACCTTTAAATACAAGGTTTGAAAGCACATACTCTGGAGCTCCTGTAATAATGCTGAGAACCTGTTGTCTAGGTTAAGTGAATATTATTTTGATGGTAACTGCATCCACCAGAATCTGAATCCCATCTCAAATGATCGGATTAACGTACTGATGATTTGGCCAGTTGGTGACGTAGACGTCGGTATCAAACCAAACCAGTAGACGGTGCTGTTGAGGATGGAATTTTCCCTAAGAGCACATAAAGCCATCGATGAACAAACCTGCCAGACCAAATTGAACAGAAAAGTAAATGACTTCATATTCTCCATTTTGTGCACCATGTAGATGTGATAATGGGAGCTTTGATAAAGTAGTGGGAACGATGTATGCCAGAGGATTCAAGACAATAAGTTTCTCATTTCACTATTAAACTTAAACAGCTGTAACTGTACTACATGATTCCAAATTTTGAAAACTTTAGTTTCCTCCCTTCCCAGTGTTACCAGTAGGGGATAAATTATTGTTTTCCGACCCGTCTGTACTTGTATCACGGATTAAATAAGATAAGTGGTTGTTGTGCTTGGAGTAGCCGGCGCCATGTATACAATTACCTATTCTTGTTCCTAGAGAATTAATAACATCCGGAGGGGCCTTACACGCTCGTTCAACGGACGTCTTGTTAATCCCTCACAAGGGTCGGTTATAAGGCATCTCGTGTACGGGGCAAGAAAATAAATATAATCATTTGCAAGTATTAGAAGGTTTGATTAATCGAATATTCAATTTTTGTACATGTTTTTTCACCACACTCATGAAATTACGATTAAGATGGCTTTCCTTTGACTGAATTTTTTAATCGACTCAATTATCTATGTAACAATATATTTCTTTTTTTTTTACAAAAAATAATTGGATGTTTCTATGTAAATACTCTGGTCGTTTTATAGGCGGATTTTATCTTTAGTTCTCGCAACCGTGAGAAAGAGGATGGTACAAAAGTAAATAGAAATACACCATTATGCATATTGCATAGGCAGAATTGAATATCCGTTAATTACATATTATAAATTTAATCAACGAAAAAATAATTGACACGCATGAATGTTAAAAGCGTTAATTAAATTGAGGTTGAACTTTTTTTAACTAGGAAGAAAGAATATCGCGGTGTTTTACTCTTACATGTCAAATGAATTTTTTTTTGTTCATTGAACGAAATAACGAAACAAATAGACATATTAGAAAAAGGATAGGAGAAAGATATAGAGAGACAGGAGATAGATATAGGTAGATATATAGATAGTGAGTAAGAGAGGGATACGTAGATAGATAGATACATAAATAAATAGATAGAATATATATNGACAGAAAGAGGTAGTGAGATAAAGAAAAAGAAAGTGAGAAATAAACCGCATATGTTCTAAGATTAATAAATTCATACATAGAATATGGGAAGGGCAATTGAAAAGAAGAGAGAAAGAGAGAGAGAGAGAGTGAGAGCGAGAGAGATTAGCTAGATAGATGGAGTCAGAGAGACAGACTAAGAAGTAGAGGGAGCAACATAAAGAGTGTGGAGAGAGACAGAGTGAGGGAGCAATAGAAAGAGAGAGGAGAGAGAGAGAGAGAGAGTGAGAGTGAGTGAGTGAGTGAAAGGGAGGGGAATATAAATTAATGTGTTATTATATTTGCAGTGATTTGGCTTATTTCTCTTTTACATCCAAGGACTTTAGAGAAAAATAGGAGTGAGAGGTTTTGTGAAATGCTACTCGTACTGTTTTTAGTTGAGCCAAATAGCTAAATATATATATATATATATATATATATGTATATATATATATATATATATACACCCAGGAGGTTTAAATGTAAATCAATTTCGTGTTCTAGAGTGGTGTCACTAAAACCTGCTTGGGCCATAATTTGTTTTATTTCCAAATATTTTACACTCTTTCGTCGGGAGCACAAGGGATAAAATTGTTTTTCTGAGGTTGAAATGCTGGTGAAAATCAATTCGAATTGAGATTGTCCAAAACCTCGAAGGCGTTGACCGCTTTGTGAACGGACTGGAGGGCTGTGGAGAACGCCGGCTCCCGTTCGGCCTTCGGCAATTCCATGGCGTACTGGAGCGTCTCCAGGGGGCCGCGGAGCTTCTGGCACTCGCGACGGTTCAGCAGCATTTTCTTCGTCCTCTTCATCGTCATCTCCAGCTCCCGGACCTCATCCTGCGAGAGGTCTGGCCGTCCCATCTCGTTTAGGATCCTCAGGGCGAAATGCAGTCTGGAAAATTGAAGTAAGTTTAGTACAAAGGGAAAAAAATTGTACCAAACACATTTTAAGTAAATAAGGTAAGTATTTTTTTGCTTTTTAGTCAACTTTTTCTATCAATTCTAGTTAATAAAACAACAGTGATGCTTATTATAACCAAGAGCTCAATTGATTCAATAATCTACTTCTATGAGTCAATGATATACTTTTATACAGAAAAACAATTATACTAAGAAACGAAATATCAATGAAGGCTCACTAAATGAAAATTACTTTACTGGGTCCGCCTATTCTCGCTTGTTTGCATTTCATTTTCAGTTAAGTAAGATGATTTTCTTTACGAATTATGTTAATTCATCTCTAAGAATTTTTGTCTAGTGAAACAAAATGAATAACAGGAACATATTTTACACAAAAAGCGAACAATACGAAGAATTTTTGTAATAATTAAAATTATTATTGGAGAGAATTTAGTTGAGATGTTATATAATTAGGGAAAGTTTAGTGACTGGTTAGGTTAGATTAGGTAGGGTTAGGTTTAGGTTGTGATTAGTTTTTTTAGTCATGATTTCAAATAGAATTTGGTTCCACTCACCGATCAAATCCGTTGTTTTAGATGAAGAGTAAAATGACCGAAAATGTTAAAAGGGTGTAGAAGTGCTCGGTCGCAGCATGGATAATTTTTGATAAACGGCTTCTGATCGAGTTTGAGAACACTTTTCGATTTATCAACGCCACCCGGGTCAGGAGTAGTGGTTTTCTGGGCAGTCAATGAAAAAAGAGAAAAAATCTGAATTAAAACCAAGAAGAATCGGAGAAAAAACAAATCTAGTGAATGAAGAAAGAGGTTTAAGAAGTTGAGAAACAGCGATTTTGGTCGGGTCGACCGTCCGCCTGTTCTCGCTGTTTTTAAGTCAGACGCGTCACGCTGAAATGATACGAGAATAGGCGGACCTGGGAACGACGGGCGATAGAAATGATGATTCTTCAAAAAATTTCAATTTCAGCCTAACCAAAAGTTATTAAAGCATGTACCAACCTATCAAACTTTTATGTACCTATAAGCCCTGATGATTGCATAAATGCAATGGAAAGGTTGTGAAACAATTGTAGATTTATTCAACCATACTTACACTCAAGGATAAATTAATATCAAAAGCAGTATTTTTTATGTTCTACCATTTTAGTATAAGGTACTGGGCATGTATTATTGTGTCTGGGAAAGAGAAAATTGCTTACGTGTCGAGGGTTCCGCACTCTTCACTCAGTTCCATTTCCATCCTCTTGCGATCCTCATCCGTTTCGTTTTCATACCACGATGATGTGAAATCCGACTTGTTTTCCTTGAATTTGTCCTGTTTCGATTCTTTGAGAGTTGTCTCTTCTTTCGGTGTCGGGGAGTCGCCTGCGTCTGCCGCTTTTCTCTTCGACTCAAACGCGTATTCGCGAGGGGTTGGGCTGAAAGACGTTACCTTCGCTTCTCCAGTTTCCATCTGAAAAAAAATAGTGTTTTTTTTTATTTCTGAAGGAGAAATCGACTTGAAAACGATCTTGCAGCCACCAGTTTGGGTCGTTTCAGAGATCAATATAACGAAATTTCAATTCACAGAATAATTTGTTATGGAAGAGGATTTGAAAAAAAATATAAAGATTTGGGTTAAATAATAAACGTGTCATTTCTCTCTCTGGTAGCCGACAAGATCTTCCATAACAAATTTATCTATGTTTTTTTAAAGCCAAAACTAACATTTTGTTTGTTCTCGTTGAAACGCCCATCCTATGTAGCTCCACGGTTTTGAATCAACAGTGCCGCGATAGCCGAGGAAATATGTGCAAAAATCGAAGAAATTCTGAAACTTAATTTTGAAAAAAATATTTACTAGCGATGATGCAGGCATCAACTTTACTAATTTTGCCATGCCCTTTAGTAAAATACCTTCGGCAGTCGAATCTGTTTCTGCGTGATGGCCAAGGCTTTCGTGAAACGCGGCAGGAGTTCACCGTCTTTCCTTCTGAAAAAAATCGAACTTAATCAGACAAATACGGTTTGACTTTTCTTGACGATAAGTTGAAAAATACACACTCGTCAAGGGTTTCCAGGTCTTTCTTGAGCGAGCTGAGCGTCATGTCTAACAGTTTAGTCGCAGACTTGACGTCTTGCCTCAATATCACGACAATGTCATGGACATTTTCACTTATCTGAAAGCAAAATCGAGGAAATAAGAAATTTAAAGGTTTGGTTTTCATACTAGGAAGGTAAAGTTGCTATGTAAACCACTCGGTCAAGAACTGGTAAATGTATTCCCATTGTAAATGTATTCATACAAAATGTATATCAGTTTTCCACATTACTGTCAACTCTATTCGTCGGCCTCAAGAGCTACAGAAGAAACTCCGTCACAAAAGTATCTATACTCTCTTGAATTGAAAAATGGCAAAAAGGAGGGAAAATTTAAAAGGTGGGGTTGAGATGGGAAGTTAGTGTCCGAGCGGATCGAAGTCACGATAGCTCAAGTGATAGAGTAGCGGCGTATCAAGCCGAAAGTCGTGGGTTCGAATCCCGCTCGTGACACTGACTTTTTATCTCAACTAAAAACCTTAATTAATTGAATGATATTAATTATTCAAGCGGACCACGAAAATTAGTGAATTATCTATATTGCTCATTCAACTGCCCAAAATGTCAAAGTTCAATAAGAGGTGTACAAAAAAAAATGGCATATTGGCTACACAAGGCAGTAACAAAACCTATGGCTCATTAATACGGTGAAAAAAAACTTAACAAAGAAAACCTTCCCAAAAATCAAACAGTGTGCAAAAATTGGCAAATCTATGCATCACGGGAACAATGTCAAAAACTCCATCCACTTAATTACAATTATACAGGGAGAAGCTAGAAAAAGCTCATGTATCTGTAGTATAAAAACATTTTTTAAAAATCCTAAACTTCGTTTTATCATCAATGATCGAGTTTGTGAGCGAATAGCGAGAACAAACGGACCCAGATCTTACCAGCACTTTATAGTTTTATTACGACGATGGTCAATTCTGGCAGTCAATTTTACTGTTTTAAATAGAACTAAGCATCTAATTGAAAAATCAAATTACGAGTGATAAAAGCCTGAAATTTCCAAATTGAGGAAATGATGTTTGGAAATTCCAATGTACGTACAAATTAAAATACCAAAATTTTTTTTTTTTTAATTCACTAATTTAAATTTAAACGACAATTAATTAAGGTTTTTCATCTCAACTAAAAACCTTAATTAATTGTAAAAATTTTTAAAATGTTATTGTTGTATAAAATTGTTCTTTGCAAATTTAAATTTACTCGTTTTAAAAGTTTATAAAGGTTTGGCAAAATGTTTAATGTAACGACGTACCACTTCAGGCTTAACTTGCTTGGTCTGGTTTATATCAACAGGAAAGAACATAACACTAACCTCTATTTATTGTGGCCAGAATAAGAACAACCCCAAGAGGACCTATAAACGATCTAAAGCTTTGATTCTATATACGGTGATATTGTTTTAATGCACTTAAAATTTATGATGGGGAAGGTTCGGGCATGACCTCTATAGGAGGGAGTCGTCTTGGCTTGACTTGGAGAAAATTGTTTTTTTTTAATAAGTGTGGTTTTGTTTTAGATGTTTTCTCGTCAGAGATGGATTTGCAAGTTTGAATGTAAGATAACAACCTTGGTAGGGTCATCTCCTAGGTCGAGTTCCCTCCTCGCCCTGAGTATCTTTGCTGCGAACTTGTTCTTCATCTGCCTCGGAAGTTGAGCCTCGGCGATGAGCTTGTCGGCCTGGTCGAGAAGCGACCTGACGCGTAGGTACCTCGCGGCGGCTTTTTCCTTAACCTTCTCGCGTTGCCGCTCGGCTTTAAAAGTCGCCAGGATGTCCCTCGATAGCGCCATGGTGCTGTTACTGGAAAAAGAAGTCAAAACTGTAGAATCCGATGAAGGCGGGCACTCCTCTACTTACTGTCCTCCGCAACCATGTAACAAGGGTGTCATGTGTGACATGTTCTGGTGTCTTATGAAGCCTGCGTAGTAACACGCAGTTCATAGTTTTGTCTGTGACTATTTCGTGTAAATGTGTGGTAACAGCTGTTTTGTCCCCGATTTCAACTTTTCAACACTTTGTAAATATTATTGAAAATCATGTCGGGCTATCTTTTAACACGTCTTTTTTATTTTCACAGTATTTTTACGGTCTTAACCTTATGGCACACGAAGAGCACGAGAGGTATTGCTTTGTGACGTAAGATGAAAATTTAATCATTTTGCTTACCTTCTTCGACTCGCGCTATTTCGCTTCTGTCCTGTACCCATTGTTCTTCCTCTGTCGCCCGTGGAGTGTATTCGTCGGCGATCAATTTTGACTGAGCTTTATACTGAAGAATTCGACTTAGGATTTTTTTTGGTTTATTAGCCGAAAAACCGGGTTAAGGGGACACTGAATAATTTTGATACGGTCTGCGATGCCAAACCTTCTCCATTATTTATTAGGAGGTTATAACAAAAAAAATTCATAGTCGTCCTTAAATCCTCTTGACCATCCCTCCATAGATGATCTTTGAGATTGTGATGGCACAGTGCTGAGAAGAAAAGCAGAGTGCTTATCCTTGGTATATCTTTAGGTGAAGAAAACACATAAATCAAGTGTAATTATTATAAAGAGGTTTCCATCTTCTACCATGATCCAAGTAAATCAAAATATAAATAAAATTGAGCGTTGATATAGGCTCAAAATTATCTACCACTAACACCCTACCAACTCCAGAAGCCGGCTACTTTAATTTAGCACTTGTTCGTTTGTAGCTCGGATTTATTTCCGAAGGATTAATTTATAACCGAAAAGGGATCTAGCAATGCAGTGGTAACATAATGTGAAAATGTCAAGGGCGGTGATGTCTCATTAGCATATTGATAGGATCTACCGGCTACTCGTCCGTTTCCCCCGCGTACACGACGTGGCACCGCGGGGTTTTTCGAAATTAAATTAGTTTCACTTCCGTTTGATGTAGGTCGGCAGATGGCCTCTGGCAAACAAAGGCAGACCGTGATTGATGGACGGTGAGGCGAAATCGTGTCGGGCCCCACGGTAGCACCAGATTCGAAACTGTTTTGACAAGAAAGCCATTACAACCGGGCACAGCCACAAACACCCTCCCCGGGCTTCTTGGGTGAATTTTAATGAGCGGCCTTAAATAGCCTATCACGATTTTACTTGATCAAACGTTGTTACTTATTCTAACCTGTCACTTGATATCATTAAGATTAATTCAACGTGTCCCTCCTACCAGCACTTCAATTTCAAGAACAAAACATGAAAAATAAAGGAGCTGTTTATAACGGTCAGGTCGAATTCATTATGACTAAAGCCAAATTGGTCATGTTATGTCAAATCAAAGAAAGTTCACTTTTATCGACAAAGTTTAAACATTAACAGTCTTTTTGTTTAACCATCTAAAAAAACATCGCTTTATTCACGACCCAAAACATGATTTAATATGCTTTTACTAACCTCAAGACGAATATATTCTTTCACTTTTCAATATTAGAATATCAACCAATTTTCACTCTCGAATAGTCTGGATCAAGGTATGGTCTTTAAGAGAAAAGCACATTCATTGGTTACTGCCAAGCTTTCGACCTATTTTAAGGTCATCATCAGCGCAAAACAATCTTAAATGTGTCTACAGATTGGCTTATTTAAGTTTTCTACAGGCTCCAATTTTCTTGAAGACCGACTCAGTCCTAACATTGCCAAGAACTGTAACAGTATTGCAACCTTATTGCACCATGATAGGTGCCTCATTATTCGGTCGAAAGGCTGGCAGTAACAACCGAATTTGATTTTTTCTTCAAGACCATACCTTGATCCAGAATGTTCGTGATATTCTTTCACGACTATCTTCTGTAATTTGGTCGCTACCAATCATTTTGGTTTGTCTTGACATCTTCGATGTTGGGTCTGAGATGGTCAGATAGTATATCCTTGCCTGAACGGGGTTAGGATAGATCGAAATTTTAGAAAATGGGAACGGATCAGCTCTTTGACACTAAGGTCATGAGGTCATCGTGGAAATTTAGGTTAGCCTTCTATGAATAAAGCAGCGGTTTAAAACGAATCAATCCTAAGAATGAGACTAGGCACAGAGAACTCACATGCTAGAACTATAACTGAACTAAATTGCTGCCTCGACACTGTAGACCGTGAGGGCATATGCTACTCAGAGCAGCAGAAACAAGACTGTTCAGATTATTGGGGGCCGCGGAATTTCAGGCACTCGGGCCGGTTCAGCAACATTTTCTTCATTTTCCCCAGATCCAGGTGATGATGGCTGCATACATTCAATGTAAAGGCTGTGAAAGAATTGTAGATTTATTCAACCAAACATACACTCAGACATAAATTAATCTCCAAAGTAGTATTTTTTAATGTTCAGTCCTAAGAAGGTTCTACCATTGTAATATAAGGTACTTGGGTTATCAATTTTATTATATCAAAGAGAAACTTTTTTTACGAAGAAGCAGAAACAGCGGGTCAACGTCTATTGAAGGTAAGGTAGCATGTTGAGTCCCACTTTTGGGAAAAATCCCAAGGGCTGAAAAGTTCACTCGAGGGTCCTTGACAAAGATTTGGAACCTGAAAAAAACATTAACTTAATGAAGATCTAGATAACAATGGACATTGCACAACAGATCTACTCTGATCGTAAGGTCCGAAAAGTGTGCGACTCCTTTTAATAATTTTTCTGAAGACTTTCGAAATTGTTTCGAGGGACTTCAATCCTCTCCGTTTGTCCAATAGTCGATGTTTTGTAGCATCGTGATATTTTTGATTTTATTTGCCATTGGCTTTAAGTCTTGTGTGGAGATTCCACGTCATTCTACAGTCTCAAGTCCAACTTGCGTTATCTCCACTATCTCCTTGATATCCAATCTTAATTTTGGTTTCATATCAACAGGCATCTTCAGATCTTTGCTTGAAGTTCGTCCCGAAGCTTGTCGTTAGTGTGGGATTTGTCAAACCTCTCCCTGGATGAACATATGTAGTAGTGGTAGATTCAGGTCGACTTCTAGGGTAGCCGTACTCATTAGCCCGGTGATGCCCAGGCGCTAAGCAGTACTGAGCTGTATTGTTTTCGTCCACCAAACCACTGATCCGTATGTTATCGCTTTGTAATAACTAGCACTAATAATGCTCCCTTGTGTATTTGTGCTTCCACACCACCTCTGCACCAATAACCATCAAACCTCGTATAAAATAAATAGAGGATAGAAACTGTTTGAGTTTCTTCTTCACTTCTTGGTTCTTGGTTGGTGATCTGAAAACCGTACTTGGTCGTTATTAGTCTGAAAGGTTGTAAATGAACTCTTTAACCAAAATTATAATCCATTTGACCAAGACTTACGACGACCAGAGATATAATGGGCGGGTCGTGCCACGGGACTCAATTAAGTTCGCGTAATCGACCCCATTCTCGGATTTACAGGATGCACGCCGGCAGTTTTATTCCGAATATAATAGAACGACAATCGTTTAAAAATCAAAGCGGAGTAATATTGTTTAAGAACTAAACTGAACAACGTTGAACAGTCTTTTTTTTTATCAGTGTGTCCATCTTCTGTTGTTTTGGTCCGATAGATGCGTTTTTTACTAATAATTTTCTTTGAAATCTGCTGAGATGGCGAGACGAGGAATCTATCAGACGAAAACAGACAGGTTAGGCTAAAGAAATTAGCTCTTAATAATTATTCAAATTTAACTGGGAAAATTTTTGGGTTGCCCTGAAAATAATGCAGGTTTTCATTTTTTCTTTTAGTTAACCCTCTATATAATAAACGGTTTACGTTTTATTCTTTTGTACGACTGTCAACATTTTTTAATCCTCTTCCGAACGAAAATGTTTTTTATCTCAGTAGAATTTCGTTACTTGGGAATAATTCAGGAATAATTTCGTTTTACGAGTTTTAAACTCGGTCGGAAGGGTGACCAAACGGCCAGAAACTTTAATGAAGTCTGGGCCGATGGCAGTATAAGTGAGAGCACGGTTCAGAGAGGTTTTGAAAAATCGAGGGGGAGACTTTAGCCTTGAAGACAAAGAAAGTCGTGGAAGGATTTCATCCCTAGATGATCATTTTCTGCGAGCTTTGGTCGCAGAAAATCCTAGAACTTTGGTAAGGTACTGTTCGTAAACTTGCAAAGAATCTTTCAGTCAAGAAATTGACCGTCGCTGACCATCTTAAGGAAATTGGAAAGGTGAAAAAGCTTGAAAGTTGGATTCCACATGCATCAAACAACCGCACAAAAAAAACAAACAATCATCGTTATGATGTTTGCCACTCTTTTGGCGAAACAGAAACCCTTTTGTTGAATTGTTACGTGTGATGAAGACTGGATTCTCTGACATGACAGACTCCTGCACAGTGGCTCGGCAAAGGAGAAGCAGCACCATATATTTCAAAGCTGCCAACTCATCAAAAAATTGTGATGGTGACTCTTTGGTGAGGCTCATTTGGGCTGAATAACTACGGATTCTTGAACCCTGGCGAAACAATCAATGCCGAAATATATTCAAATTGAAGCAATGCTCTAAAAATTGACATTATTAAAGCCATCTTTGGTCAATCGGAAAAGGTCGATTTTGTTACTCGGCAAACGAAAACTTAGATCTTGGTTATAAGTCCATTCCTTTCAATTAATTAATATTTTTAGGTAATGTTTTGGTTTGGGGGGGAGCCGAAGGCCGTGGGTTCGAATCCCGCTCGTGGCACTGACTTTTTCATTGTGTGCCTTACATAAAAATAATTTAAACGAATTTTTTTGTTTAAGAAGAAGAAGAAAGTTTTCCTCACCCTCCTTATTCTCTAGACCTCTCGCCTACCGACTATCATTTTCATTAAATTCTTTTCAACTAATTAATCTTTAAGTAAGGTATTGGTCGAGATAAAGAAGTCAGGGCCACGAGCGGGATTCGAAAAACGGCAAAAAGGAGAGAAAAATTCAAAAAGGTGAGGTTGAGATGGGAAGTTGGTGTCCGTGCTGAAGTTGAAATAAAAAAGCCAGTGTCACGAGCGGGATTCGAACCCACGACCTTCGGCCTAATTCGCCGCTGCTCTATCACTTGTGCTGTCGTGACTTCGATCCGCTCAGAGACCAACTTCCCATCTCAACCCACCTTTCGAATTTTTC